AGCAAGCAAGCAAGCAAGCAAGCAAGCAAGCAAGCCGGTAGTGCTATCATACTAGTAATAGCTCTAACGTACCGTATCGGTACGTTTAACAAGAAACAACGCTGAAGCGAGTTACAACACTTCACAAGGGGACGAAGTTTTAGGAATTACTTCATTCCACCCCACATGGTAGGAGCTGCTACTACTTTCTTTGTTCTCTGCACTCCTTCCTCCCGTCCGCTGCTTCAAATAAACCGAGGACCTGGGATGGCACAAAAATAATAACAAAAGTCGACAGCACAGGTATCATACCTATTTACTCACTGGAGCAAGTACCGGTACCGGTACGATACTCTGGCCGACGTGGCCAAGTATGGCAAGACAAACATACTGACACAGAAAAAACCATTTCGGGAAAATAAGGCATCCATCCATTCCTGCCCTTACCCTTGCCCCATCAGATGGCCCTTTGTTTCGCTCGTTTTGCTTTCTTTTTTTTTTTTCCCTCCGGCGTCAGTATTTTATTATTATTTCCCTTGCCCGTTAACCGCCCCACCGCTACATTGGCTCGCGAATTACACATATCATACAGAATTTCGCATTTATTATACCCTACCGTTGCCGTAGCGTACCGCAAAGCAAACGAGCGATAATTTTGGAAATTTCAATGCTGACCTTTTTACTCTGGTTCCTATCCTCCTCCAATCTCTACATCCATCCAAAACATGGTACTGTACTCGTACTTGTACAGTCAGAAGGGGAATAAATGGGGGCACAGGAAGCGAGTCCTGAATAGGAATGGTTGACGGGTCTTACGTACGGTGTGGAAGGCTTGCCCGCCTGCCTACCTGCATGGCCGTCCTCCCGCTTTGGTGGGGGAGGGGTGATGAATGGCGGAATTGGCTTAGCCCTGGGTAGACATCATCAAGTTTACTAACATACCAGTAGACTACGAGTACAGTACTCGAGTACGGCGTTTACTCATTACGATGTTCAGGGAGGAACAATTCTTCCGAGAAATTACACTTGAGTAGAAAGTCGATGTCGCGATTTGGGGGCGTCTTCCTCTCTTCTTTCTTTCTCTCTTGTCACCCAGGAGTACGAGTACTGTACTTGCCCTGACTTCCTGACCCCCGCCTCGAAAGGATGGATAGTATGCGGAAGGGTCAAGCGGAGGAGAGAGGAGTGATGTCCACCCTTTAGATGATTGACCATGATGCGCCATGTACTGTACAGTACCGTGCTTGTATCGTAGATGCGGACCCTGACTTTTTTTTTTTTTTATAATAATAATATTATTATTATGATATTTGTCCCAATTTTTTGACATGGGCTAGATGAAATGAAATTTCCCATCCACCATCTATCTCCTCATCCCGCACATGAAGGAATCACACAACGGAAGCGCAGTAACAAGGAAAGGCGAGAAAGCCACAAATCCACAATATGATACACCCCCCCAAAATCTAAACGAGAAGGATCTTTTTTACTGTACTGTACGTACGGAGCTATATAAAATATTCATGATACCTTTTTCACCCCAAACAAAACACACAATCAATCGATCCGATAATAACCAGATAATACTCGTTTTCATTGTTTTTTTTCTTTTTTCTTTTTTCACCCTTTCCCCTCTCCGTTCCTCCCACAACAAAGTGGCAAATTATAGGACGGTGGTGGGGCGGGCGAGAAAAGAAAAGAAAAAAGAAGAAAAGAAAAAGCTATGAGATAATAGATCGTGAGATCGTAGTTTAAATGTTTTTTCTCAGCAGGAAGAACAAAAAAAAAAGAAAAAGAAAGAAAGAAAGGGGAAAAAAGGAAGAAAAAAAAGAAAGGAAAAGAAATTTCCTTTTTCCCTTTTTCTACGTTTACCTCACCATACCATACCAGGCGAGTTCACTTGTATCGTACGAAATACAGTTATATACAAGCACTGCCGACCAAGTGGATCGTGATGACAACCTCCCCGTGTATCATCACCACACGGTGAGTGAGTAGAGTACGTACTTGTACTTGTACCGTACTCGATCACGCAACCGCAGGGCCCGCAAAAGCAAGGTATCGCATCGTGAGATTTCACCACCGAATCGATGATTTCTTTCTCCCTCCCTCACATTACCTTACCCTATTTAACTGTACTTGCACATATATTGCTTTTTTTATTATTATTTTATTTTTACCGGATTGGGTTTAGGTACTGTAAGGGAGATATGATATCAGAAGTTATGATACCGGTAGTCTACTTTTGCGACAAATAAACCTCAAAGACTTTTTTATTTTCTTTTTTGTCCCTGCCAAGGTTATCCTGTGTGCTTGTATCGTACAGTACATACATGGATGGAAAGGGCTGTCAGTCTAGAGGGAAATGTTTAAATCTGCGGTGTGAGAGTCGTCGTAAAAAATTTTATGGGTGGAAAAAAAAACGAATGAGGGGTTGTGAGGTCGGTTAATTACCGTAGCTTGGTGTGTTCATGAATGTTAGCCACAGTGGCGGTGTTCGATCTAATACCTCTCCCTCCCTCCCTCTCTCTCTCTCTCTCTCTCTCTCTCTCTCTCAACCCTCTCAACCCTCTTGTCCCTCACTGCGGGAAGGAAGGGATGGAAGGGATGGAAGGAAAATGGGAAAGGGAATGACGTCGTGAAAAGTAAGGAAGGAACTACTGTAGTCTACTCGTACTGCGGCATCTCTTCCTCACGCTTCGGTTGCTCGTTGACCCGGCTTGAATTGATTCGGTTGCTTTTGCCGGTAGGCTAGACTGGACTACCGATAGTTCCCAGCGGGCGCTCGGCAAACCATACAAAGTGCTGATAAATTCCTCGAGTCCACTGTAGAATACAGAACCTCTCTCTCTCTCTCTCTCTATTTCCCTCTCCTCCACTCTTACTGTACTCTTCACGAGTACTCGTACTTACGAGTTGTCGTAGCTAAATACTTTTTCGGACAAGTCGATCACAAAATTGCCAGCTCGCGATTGTCTGCGAAAAGGGCGATCGCTTGGTGGAATCGTTGCTACTGTGGAGAGCCACTAGAGATAGGGCTGGGAACAGAGGGACCAATCTTGAGTGTGGAGTCCTACAATTGAGAGGCGTTGAATTTTTGATTTATCATACAGGATTTTTCGTTCCATCGTTTTTTTTTTTTTTTTTTTTTTTTTTTTTTTCCCTTTTACGAGAGAAAAGGGAAGCAGGAAGAAGTCTTTCTTCCACCTTCTGTGGGTTAGCTAGCCCTCGTTGTGTGTGTGTGCGGTGTGGGTAAAAAAAAAAGAGATAAATATATGTGACAGAAAGAAGCAGGCGGTCAAGCAGGGTAAACGAACAAATGAGTGATGATGGTACGGTACCGGTAGGAGTTTAAACAGCCAGGCCAACCCCCGATACCGGTATGATAAGGCGAGTTAAAGTGTGGCTGTTGCGGCGAGAAAGTTAGGAAGGGCCTGAAAGTCCGAAGAGGGCTGCCCGGGACGGGTAGGATGAATTGGTAACGCACCTGGGTGGTGCTGGTCACTTTTTTCCACTTTTTCCCTTGTGGCTCATTGATATGGATTGGGAGGGGAGGGGAGGGGGGTTTGGCCGGCTGGCTGAATGAAGGGGTGTGAGTGATGGCAGGGTGAAGGGAGGGATAGAAGGGTGCAATGCATGAGTCGCCCACTGACCGCGAGGTGGAAAGGAAAAAGGATTTTTTACCCTGGGTGTAAAATGGGGTGTGATGGTGTGGCATGGCCCATGGGCTTTTCCACTGTTCTATCTTCTTCCCCCCTCGGAATATGGGAATTCACGACGTTGAGTCGTCGACAGGGCTGGACGGAGAGAGAGAGCAAGGAAAAGGAAAAAAAAAAGGAAAAAGAAAAGGAGGAGCAGGGGTGGAATGGATTGGTGGTGGGAAGGGGAGGGTGAGGTTGGGTGAACGGAGCAGGGATAATGATATGGAGAAGTCCCGTCCGCTGTTACTGATCTGTTACGCGTTTGGCACTTCGCCTGCTCTTGCTCTATGGTATCATACCTTTTTTTTCTTTTCTTCTTTCCTCTCCTCTAAATTTATTTGGGAGGTGAGAGTTTTTGGGGTTTTCATCCATCGAATTAGGGCTCGGGCTCTAAATTGCAGATGAACTAAGAAGGCATCGCATTGTTTATCGTTTTCTACTTTCTGTCACTGATATTGCTGTACCTATTTTAGCACGCCATGAGAGGGGGAATATTAGAGTTGATTAACCCAGCGGTACTGTACCTCACCTCAGTTAAGTGTTAGGTACTGTACCTACCTACCTTTCTCCTCGTCCTGTGTCATATTGTATCTCACACACAAGGAAATGCTTGGCTATTAAATTGGGGGTACATCTCCAACCACAAGTACCTTTCTGACCGAAAGTAGACTAACTCATGTATCCAGGGAAAATCCAGGCATTGAATTCGGTAAGAAGGACGAATGAGGAAGCAGCGATACTAAATCCGGTATCGAGCGGAGGCAGGGAAGGGCGTATTCGAAATTCCATGTCGACGCCCTACCTCACATCTTGTCTATGAAGCCCCCGAGTTCTCAGAAAAGTGCCAAAAAAAAGGATGAGCAAAGATTTTTTTCTTTCCCTGTTGCCATTCCGAGCTTGGGTTGCCGTACTTGTACTTGTACTTGTACTGTACTCTACGTGCGTACGGATTATCCGTTCTGCGGTCTCTCTCTCATTGTCCGCCCCCCCCCTTTCCTTCCTTTCCTTTCCCCTTCCCCCCCCCTTGGTCCATTTATTCATTCTGCTGCTACCAATTTCATACCATACCCAAACCCCAATGCCATCCCCATGCTCCCCTGTCGTCTGCCTGCCTTTGCTGCTCGTCTTTACCAACCAGCCCACCCCCCTCTCCAGTAGAGAGTATGTACGGTACGGTACCTCCCTCCTCCGCCCCCCCCCCTCTGTCTCTGCTATCATCCCCGCTAGTACCATCCACATCCACGCTCCTCGGTCACCACTTTGTTCCGCGGCGAGGACATAAAACGAAGGGTGCCACCCACACCCACAGTAGGCGTCACCAATTGTTTTGCATTTGTCACTTGTAGAAGGATCAGCACCACTCCTCCGGTTCTCTTTTCCACCTCAACATTTAACTATCTACACTCTCCCTCATTCTTGCTCGCTTTTAACACCTTCGTCACCTTCGCTCCGCAATCATCACTCGCCCGACTTGCCATCATCATCATCGAACAACATCAGCGTCATTGCTGCTTCTATACTTGTCTTCTTTACTGCCACTCTCAGGTTTCGTCTGAATAAAGAGAGCCCCCCATATCCCCCTCTCTTCGTTTCACTCCCCCTTCAGTACCTCCCTGCCTGGTCAAATTTATTTCGAGTGCCGTCCAAAATCTATACAATATATTCTTCGTTCTCCCACGTCCTGTGTATCATCATCAACCTTGTGCGAATTAGCGGCCGAAAAAGGTCCCGGATAAGAAGTAGGAAAGCGAGCAGAAGAACGAGAAGAAACTTTCTATCTATTGAAATGAATAACCATTGGACCATATCCACCTCTTCGGGGCGACGAGTTTCGCTCCTTTGTGAGGAGGAAGCTGCGAGCGATTACGCATATTCCTACGCTTCGTCGTCGTCATCCCCAACCCCACCCCTCTCCCCGGATTACCGTCACAGACCTTACACCATCCGCCATGACTCGATCGAGTCCGCCTCGTCCTCGTCCAGCTCATTAGGATCTAGTCTGTACTCCCCGCGAACACCGCCGATCCTAAGCCTACCATCCCTCGAGAAGCTCCTCCCCGTCCCCGAAAGCTCCTACTTCCCAAACATTTCCACACCCTCCGTGACCTCCTCACCAATACCCAGCCCCGCAATGATGATGATAGCAGCAACATCGGAGGAGCTGTCGCCGACTAGCTCGCAAGCACCAATCACTTCCGCGCCGCCATCGCCAAAGACGTCGAGTGCCGCCAACCCGTCGCTCAAGAGGAGCTCGCGCAGGTACACATGTCAATGCGGAAAGTCGTTTACCACGTCCGGACACCTGGCGCGACACACGAGAATCCACACGGGGGAGAAGAACTACGTTTGTCCGGAGACGGGGTGCGGGGCCAGGTTCAGCAGGCAGGACAATTGCATGCAGCACTACCGCACGCACCAGAGCGGGTCGGGGAGCAAGAGGGCTGCCAGGAAGCGGAGGATGTCGGCTGAGTCTGCGGAGGCCGTTGGCAACAAGCCGGATATGCACCCGCAAATGCACTCGTATCACACTCCGCAACCGGTTTCCTACAGTCATTATCCAGAATCGTTTGATGGGGGGCTCACGGCTCTGGCGAACGCTGCTATATCAGGGTATCCTTGAAGGGCTTTATCTTTTTTTTCTCCTTTTCCTTTTTTTATCCTTCCTTCTCCCCTGATTAAAACAAAAGTAACTTCCTCTCTTCGCTTTCTTGGGCCCCTCCATTCTCTGTTCGGCGCATTGGTCACCGGGATCTATTCACTTCATTTATTGTTTTCCCTCTTCCTCCATTTCCCCTCTGACCTTCCTTCCTTCCTTCACTTCATCCGGCTGCTATTTTATCTTTTTCCTCTGCCCTTTTATCCTGCTTCTCTTCGCTTGTAATATTCTTCCTCCACTTCCCCATGCAGTTTTTCGAACTTCCCTAAGCAAAATATATTCCTCCCACCACCACATCTACCACCCGAATTCTCTCCTCAAACCCCTCAAAAGCAGAGAAGAAAAACAAGAACAAAATGAAAGAACGAAGATAATTGGAAGGAAGAAAAAAGAGCAAGAAAGGAGCTCGGTTTGTGGTTTACTTTTCCATTGTACTAGTACAAGTATGAAAAATATGATTCTCGTCCTGGATTTTCTATTCTGTTCGGGACTGGGGCTTTTTTTTTGTTTCCTTTTTTTTTTTTTTTAACTCTCCAACGGTTTTTGGGTGGGGTGGGTTATTTGCTTTTAACGGGTTTCTTTGGGCAAGGGGGGGAGCTTTTTTTATCTCACTGGATCGCATTGGGTGGTTTCGGCGTATGGAGTCCTTTTTTCCGTTTCATTATTCCTTCTCTCTCTGCCCTTTCTTTCATCCCTTGTTCATGCCCCATCTCATCGTCAGTGTCATGATCGCCATCCTCATCACCGTCACCATTATATTAAACAGACATAACTCAACTCCCATCGTTGTGGCCCTGGTACTTCCATATTCATTTAGGTTTTGGTGGGTGTTCTCCTTTGTACTTTTAGGTTTGGGTCCTGGGTTAAGGCTGGCTTCCGGTCGGGAGAGGGGGGATTTTCGCTATTTGTTCATTTGTTTATCTATTCTCTGATATTTTTGCACTCTATTTAAAACGGAAAGGAGAGGAAGCTGAAATGGATTGATTTGTGAAGTGATTGCTGGGTTGAGTCGAGGAACCATCTCCGGTTGCGTCAAGTTATATAAAAACGTTCAAGGGGGGGTTAGATGCTACTACTACCGCAGAGACCCTTTCAATTTTCCATCTCCGCAGGTCTCCAATATCCCTGTAAATCGCGGCATTAGTCCACGATAGGTCTAGTTTGGCAGGTTAGCGGAATTGCGAATACCAGTTGATGGGATCCAATGCGGTCAAGGGATTCGGGCCATACTGTGCCAGGAAAGCACTTATCAATCCTTCTCGAGGACTCCTTTGTCCCCAAGTCACGAGACCATCCATCTATCGTCACGGCACTTCACCCCTTTTAGCTCCTCCTTTAATAATAATGGTTTTTTTTAAAAAAAAGATAGAAATAGAATAGGATAAGGTGAAGACGTGAAGAATATAGAAAGGAAGGAAAAAGAAAACGTTGACGAAGAAGAAGTATAAAAAAAAAAGCGCGGACTATTATCCTGCAGATCGGCGACACGCATTTTGCGGGGAAACCGTATCTACGGGATGGATGGCAACATGCCTTTTTTCAATTGTCTTGTCATGCCTTGCCTGTGTTGGAAAAGGGGTCCGAGGGTGGGATTCCGGATCCAAAGTCCGCTGTAGTACGAGTACTGTACCATTACTGTCTCTTTTTTTTTTTAATTCCTTCCCCATCCTTTCCCTTCTTCCTCTGGCTGTGGTTCGCTGAAATTGTAGTTGTTGGGGCATTATGTGATGTGCCGGCACCGTACGGTAGGGTGTTAAGGGAGTGACGTTATTATTGGGTGTAAGGGTAGGGGTTTAGGGAGGGATGGATGGATGGATGGGGGTGAGTGGGTTGTCGGCAAGGTGGAGTTCAACTAACCATCATAAGGTAAGGTAGGGATTTGATACTCGAGTACTTGATGGTGTGCCTGTTCGCGCCGAGCAAAGCGAGACATTGCGGTGGAATGTAGTATGGTGCGGCTTCCACTACCGGTACTCGAGTACGTGTATGGCTCGTGGTATACGGGGTGAACGTGATACCGGCTGGTTATTATTATACCTGAATAGAGGCGGCGGGGATGGTCGAGGGGAAGAGAGAGGTGTTTACTTGGATATGATGCTCCCCCCAGAAAACGGTTTCAGTAACGCCTTCCTTATCCGTTTCACGCTTATCTCGAGCTGAGGGGGAGCGTGAGAGGGTTTTCACGGTAAGGTCCCGGTGGTACCGTACTTTGATTGACAAAAGTCGTTGTGAAGGTTGCGATGAGGTGAGGTAACACGGTGTACGAGCATGCTACCGTTCGTTGACACTCCGTAGTCTCAGGGTCCAGTGCTCGAGTATTTAGTGTTATTTCGAATTCCAGGTCGGGTCGGGTCGGGTTAGATATCCCATTGTCTTGATCCCAAGGCCCTCCCACTACACCTGCCCTTCAGGGTCTTCGGCGACCTCGTTCAATCTCGGGTCTAGATTTTAAACAAGTGGAAGCGAGGCAAATCTTCGTTGTGGGGTAACGGCTAGTATCAGAGCCATCCAACAACCTTCGCCTGAGGCCAGAAAATGGCTCTCCGCGCGCCGCTGCTGATCTGGCCGCTGAGCTCAAGTCGGGCACCTGGCACTCGGGTTGGAAACTACGGCCCAAAAAAATGTGCGGCTTCGGCTCGGAGGTGTGAGTAGTGTCGTATAGTATAGGAAAGTACCCGAGTACTGTATGATACCGATACAATATCATACTAGCCAGGCAGTGCGGTACTGTGCCCAGACCCTGCTGGCACGCTACCCCAAGGTTCCTGGTAATGGCCCCATACCTGTACTGTACCCTTTTTAGGATACGGATCTACAGGACATTCCCCCCCATCATACCCCAACATTCTGCCATTCGCTAGTCCACCGTATGATACCAGTACCAGAGACTTTCCCAATATCCCAGTCAAACCCAACTCTGACGTCGACCTGTCGTCAGTGAAAAGCAAAGAAATTTCCACCACACACACCCTCCTTCCTCCTCGCTGAACGACCCCCTCACCCTATCGGCCTGTTACCGCATGACACACCACATATCATACTGGAACCGATACTCGAATACCGGCACAGCACTGTACGAGTACCCCTTACCCTTTCCTTCCCGCAATAGCTGCCGATTGGTCCGAGCTTGACGCGCTCAAACTCACTCACTTCCCTTCACTTCACGCATACTCGTGTCGGAACCAGGGTTCCATCCACACATCCTGCATGCTTGGATGGGAATTCATCGAAATCGACCCTAGAGTGGCAGATCGTGGGAATTAAAGTTATTCCTTTGATCTCCTTCCTCATCCCTGTCTTCCTCAACCTTGTGATCTTGGGATCTGGAATGCGCATGTAGGGATGGGTGGGGCTTTCTTTCCCCGGGATGCTTTTTTTTCCCCTTCATTTTTCTTCCTATTTTTCCTCCCTCCCTTTAGGGAGTGTGGCTAGCAATCGCAGGATATCAGCGAAGCGGACAAAGACTTTTATCGAAATTCCGAATTGAGAGATAGCGTCAGGGTGATCGGCCCCCATGCCCTGCCCCGCCTTTGTTCGTTAGGGCCCCCCCCGCAACCTGCGGATTTCTCCGTTCGGAGAGGCTTGCATCACGCGGATCTCGTGCTCCGGGGGCTCATAATTCACATAACGGTAATGCCGCTGCACCATTGTTTCCTCAAAAGCAGAGGTCGGGTAGACTACTTGCCGTATGATACCGACACATCGAGTCCGTTAATATTAGATAGGGAAGTTTGACAGGGCGTCAAGCGGGATAGGGTGCCGTGCGGGATAGGGTGCCGTCTCTAGCGGGATAGGGTACCAGCCACCTGTGTGAAACCAGTGGGAGTTTTTCATTCTGGCCCCAGCACTAAAACCCCCCTGAGCCTCATGTCGAAATAGGAGTGCTACCGTAGTCCTAATATGGTCATGAACCATACCCAACCGGGAAGTATACTGCCTATCATAGCAATTCAGCAAAAACCTTTTTTCCTCACACAAATCTCGTTGTCCTTCCCATGCAAACTTTGAAAGCCACTCTACTCGAGCACTTCCCCGACAGAAGGCTAAGAAAGGATTGCTCTATTAACACATTACAACAATCAATTAGGAAAACTTTACAGATGGAAGTTTCAAGATTCTATTTGCAGGTGTTGCTGTCGCAAGTTGAGATATCCGCCAATGGGTTCTAAGGTGCCGGCACCGGACGGAATCCCCTCGAGGGGCCGACAGGCCGTAGTGCTCGATACTCTGTCGTGCCTCCTACCCTATTAAGCAGTCTATCACAGACAGAGAATGCCGGGACGGGAGAAAAGAGGTGTCCTGCACTCTAGTGTTGATTACAAAAAATGTATAGATGCGTCTTTCTCTTGCACACCCACATTATGTCCCACTTTCCTCACACTCCACGGGGTATCTAACTACTATATGGTCCTATCTTAGCACTAGAGTTGACTTACAGCCATTCTTAGGTATTTGACAACCAGAAAATTGAAAACTTGGGAACAATGCTATCGACGGGTTTGTCACGATACTGAGGGTCATGGCACGACCTGTGCGATTGCAGGGCAAAGGAGAGGGAATAAATTAAAGCGATACAAGCATTCAGGGTTCAGGAGAAGTAAGGGTAGAAGACGGAGGCCTTTTTTCCCCAGGATTTCTCTTCCTTTCTTTCCACGATACTCGAGTAGAGTGTCTTGTGATGTTTTTCCGGAAATGTCGGTGATTGGGCAGCTAGTTTAGCTGTGAGATCAAATCCGCTTCCAAACTCATCTTATGCTATGTGAATGACTTGCCGGCTCCCGCACGATCCTGTGGACACAAGCGTGCCGCTACCGTAGCCTACTGGGTGGCTAGTGGTGTATCGTGGGGTTTACAGGGTGCGGGGTGGTGGTAACGTGTGTGTTGGTGTGAAATTGGCCTTTTGTAGATGGCACACACTTACCTGACTTGCTGGTGGTTTTTCGCATTCCATGCTGGAGTGTTCCACTTGTCTCGTACGAGTATAGTGCGGCTCAGAGGCTGATGGTTTATTCGTTGGTTACCGTACGAGTAGTGGATGGTCGGCTGGTGCTACGATATCGTGTGCACTGGGTTTAGAGTTTTGGGGAGCCGAGACGGTGTAGACTAGGGCTGTTCCAGCGGGATGTTTGTGTTGCCATTCTTTCTCCGTCTTGCTTACTCTCCTTAGCTTTGAAGGGAACTTCGGTGCCGGGTTTGAGAAAGACCGGGGCAGAACTGCCGTAGCGATGCTTCATTGGTATTCAGCACCTTACCCCCCACCCGATATTGAGAGAGTTGGAAGTTTTCATTTCGCTCCTCCGTCAATACTGTTGCAGCATAGCATAACAAACGGGAATTTGGGCAAAAACCTACTCGAGCACCGCAGTCGTCACTTTGCATAGGCCATCCACCAATACACTTGCCAGGTAACATGTACAGTACAGTACCATTATCCTCATCTACACGATGTTCACGACAGCGATCCCAGGTCTCATGTTATGCCATACTTGAGTACTGTCATTATCGAGCGCCCGGATGGGCATTAATCTACTCGAGCATCATACCTCGCTGCCCTCGTCCATCTCCGGCATGCTACGGTTCTCGGCGAGTGACGATGACAACTCAGGGCTACCATGGGGCACTAGAGGGGGGATCATCAAACCTTACCCCCCCCTTACCCCCCTTCCTTTTGGCCTATCATCCAATAGGAAGGCTCAATCCCCCTTGCCTCCACCCTAAAGGGACGGGGTATGGGCAAACCCAAATCGCAATCACCGGTCATCGCATTTTGTTTGATGTGCGCGGAGCGGGCGCTACTCATACAGTGCTCGAGTACTCGTACTTGTAGACCACGACACTAACGTGGACGGAACACCGATCACATCAGGACCAGAAAATACAAAAAATCCGTGTGGAAAAAACTTTTTGGGTTAAATGTGAAGAACCGGGAAGGCCGGCGGATGCAGGGACGGCTGTTCTCTCTCCCCATCCCCCCATTCGAATTGATGAGGGCTGG